ACATGGTATCAGAGCGTGGGGGTTTTTTTTTTCTGGGTGGTAATTTTCGGTTGCTACAGTACCAAAATTACCGTGTGAGCTTGTGACCCCCCTTCCCAATGCTTCCTTTAGTGTCACTGCCCTGCCCAACCTTCTTCCCTCCTCTGGACGACCAACCACTGAAGTTCGACGGCCATCCGACCAACGCGTGACTCTCACGCGCCTCCTGCAAGTTCACCGGAATTTCACGTGCCAGCACGTGACGGTGCGTGAGACACCCTTTTCATCGGCGACTTCGACGATCGACAACGACACCTAATTTTCGGCGAGATTGTGGTACTTCCTTGGTGTGGGTACGGCGTGGTGCACTGTTCATAGATTTTTCGGCGTTCTGCACTGTTCACTCCGGTGTCCATACTGTTCATTAGCTTTCTGGCGTTCTGTTCTATTTCTGGCCCGTCTCCGGCACTCTGTTTGTGCAATTCGGTTCTGTTTGCAACTCCCTGTGTAGCTGTTGGTCTTTTCATTGCTTTGGTATTCATTAGGTGATCCAGGTATCGTGCTTTGTGTCCTTGTGTGACACTCTTTCACATTCCTTTTGGTTAGTGCACTTCATCTATGGTTGAAATTAAATCTGTCTTGGAGCTTGTCCCAACTGTTACTAAAATTACTGATCACAAGTTGACTTGGGTAAATTATTTGGATTGGAGTAAAACCATTTGCCTCTATCTACGAAGCATTAAGAAGCAAGACCATCTGACCGATGATCCTCCAACAACTGATTCAAAAAAGGCTTGGTTGCGGGATGATGCACGGCTATTTTTCCAGATCCGTAATTCCACTGATAGTGAGATGATTCCTTCTATTAATCACTATGAATTGGTTAAGGAACTAATGGATTATTTAGATTTTTTGTATTCAGGAAAAGGAAATATCTCTCATGTTTACAAGGTCTGCAAAGTTTTCTATCATTCTAAAAAATAGGATAGCCTACTTTATAGACTTTAAGAGAATGTATGAAGAGCTGAATGTGTTAATGCCTCTTACTGTTGATTTGAAGGTTCAGTATAAGCAACGGGAGCAAATGGCTATTATGAGCTTTCTTATTGGTCTCCCACCTGAGTACGACACAGTTTGCTCTCAAATCTTATCCGGATCTGAGATTTCTGATCTTCAAGATGTGTTTTCCAGAGTAATGAGAGCTGAGAATCTCTTGCCACCAGTTGCTAGTATTCCTACAAGTGCCTTGCTCAATAGTCCCAGTGATAATCGCGGGGGGCCTACCTGTGGTGGTTCGAGCAAGGGGGAGCCCCTTCTGACTCCAGTGGGGTAGTGTGTTATTACTGCAAAGAACCAGGGCATACAAAATGCACATGTCGAAAACTTCAGAATAAACAGCAACGAAATAACTCTACCCACGTGGCTACCCAAGCCAGTGACACAGTCACAATTTCTGCCACTGAGTATGCCCAGTTAAAATCTGCTACACCGTCTATGAGTGCCGTGGCTACAACAGGTAATAATGCTACTGCCCTTGCTTCTTCTTCCTCAAAGTGGATCATAGATTCCGGGGCTACTGATCATATGACAGGTAATCGCCATCTCTTCTCCTCTTATAATGCTTTTACTAATCCGTCAAGTGTTTCCATCGCTAATGGTTCCCAGTCTCAAGTTCTCGGTTCTGGCACTGTTAATCCCACACCCTCTATCCGTTTGTCATATGTGTTAAATGTCCCTAAACTTGCTTTTAATCTCCTATCTCCCAGTAAACTCACCCGTCAACTAAACTGTTGGGTCTAACTTTTTCCTTCTCATTGCTTGATACAGGATCTTTTGACGAGGCGGATTATTGGTAGAGGTTATGAATCTAACGGGCACTATATACTAGATGATCGGGTGTCTCATGCGATGGCTTGCACTAGCAGTCATTCTCCCTTTGAAGTTCATTGTCGATTGGGTCATTTGTCTTTATCTTCTCTTAAGAGAGTTTATCCTCAATTTCAGCATTTGTCGTCTTTAGATTATGAGTCATGTCAGTTTGCCAAGCATCATCGTCTTCCCTTAGTGTCTCGTGTCAATAAACGGGTTTCATCCCCTTTTGAGTTAGTCCATTCTGATGTTTGGGGTCCTTGTTTTATAGAGTCCAAAGCAGGATTTAAATACTTTGTTACATTTGTTGATGATTATTCCTGAACAACTTGGTTATATTTAATGAAACATCGTTCTGAATTGTTTTTCCATTTTTGTGCCTTTTATACTGAGATTAAAACTCAGTTTAATGTTTCTATTCACACCTTACGAAGTGATAATGCTAAAGAATATCTCTCTGCTTCATTCCAATCTTACATGCTTCAAAATGGTATACTTCATCAGTCGTCTTGTGTCGATACACCAGCTTAAAATGGTGTTGTAGAAAGAAAAAATTGCCACCTACTTGAAGTAGCATGTGCACTTTTGTTTCAAATTCAAGTTCCTAAACCATTTTGGGCTAACGCGGTCTCCACTACATACTTTCTTATTAATCGAATGCCTTCCTCTGTTCTTGATGGTAACTCTCCCTTTTCTACCCTCTTTCCTTCTAAGCCTTTGTTCCCTATTGCTCCTAAGATATTTGGGTGTGTCTGTTTTGTGCGGGATGTACGTCCATCTATTTTAAAGTTAGACCCTAAGTCTCTTAAATGTGTCTTCCTTGGATACTCCCTAGTCCAAAAAGGTTATCGTTGTTTCTCACCTACTCTCAATCGGTATTTAGTATCTGCAAATGTCACCTTTCAGGAGTCCACACCATATTTCTTGTGTTCTTCCCCACTTGCTCCACCTGCGGAGGAGGATGACATTCTGATGTACTCTATCACTTCACTATCACCGTCTTCGCAAGCACCCGCTCCCGCACCCGTTCAACCATTTGATCGTGTGTATACACGACAGTCAAAGGAGATTACTACCGCCACGCCAGCTTCTATTCCTCCCTTGTCCGCTTTGCCATCAGATCTTGAGTTGAGCAACACTGAACCTCGTTCTGACCCTAATCCTAAGACACCTCTTGTTCTAGACCCGGATACCTCTCTTGATCTACCCATTGTCCTTCGCAAAGGTAAACGTACTTGTGCCCATCTTATTTCATCTTTTGTTTCCTGTGACCACTTGTCTCCTGTGTCCAGTTCCTTTGTTGCCTCCCTAGATACTATCTCTGTGCCCAGAACTATTCGTGAAGCCTTGGCCCACTCGGGTTGGCGTGCTGCAATGGAAGAGGAGATAGCGGCCCTTGATTGGGCTGGTACATGGACCCTGGTAGATTTACCAGCGGGCAAAAAGGCCATTGGATGTAAATGGGTGTTAACTCCGAAAACTAAGGCTGACGACACACTTGACCGCCTTAAGGCTCGCCTTGTGGCTAAAGGTTATGCACAGACCTATGGCATTGATTATTTCGAAACCTTTTCTCCTGTTGCTAAGCTCTCATCTGTTCGTCTGTTCATCTCTCTGGCTGCTACTTATGATTGGGATCTACATCAATTAGACATTAAAAATGTCTTCTTGCATGGTGATCTCTATAAAGAGGTCTATATGGAGCAACCACCTGGGTTCGTTGCTCAGGGGGAGCGTGGGAAAGTATGTCGCCTTAAGAGGTCCTTGTATGGTTTGAAGCAAAGTCCTCGTGCATGGTTTGACTGATTCAGTACTGTTGTACAGAAATTTGGCATGAGCCAAAGCAAGTGCGACCATTCTGTATTTTATCAGAGAACAGCGGCTGGCATGATTCTCTTGGTGGTATATGTAGATGACATTATGATCACAGGCAGTAATGGTTCGGGCATCTCGTCCCTCAAGTCCTTTCTTAATTCCCACTTTCAGACGAAGGATTTGGGCTCTCTGACATACTTTTTAGGTATTGAAGTTACGAGAAGCAAGAAGGGCATACTACTGACACAGCGCAAATATGTCCTTGACCTACTAAAGGAAACTGGAAAGTTGGGAGTAGCACCGGCTAATTTCCATATGGTTCACTACCCACTCCTTGACGCTGATGGGAGAATACCGCCTGATGACTCTCTTGATGATGAGAAACAAATGCTTGAGGCTCAAAAGAGCAAACCATTTGAGAATCCTGAAAGGTACAGGAGAATGATTGGTAAGTTAAACTATCTCACTGTAACTCGTCCAGATATTACTTATTCAGTCAATGTACTAAGCCAGTTCATGGCATCCCCGACTGTTAGACAGTAGGAAGCCTTGGAGCACGTGTTACATTATTTGAAGGGATGTCCAGGTCGTGGGATATTATACAAAAATCATGGTCATACAGACATTGAGTTCTTCTATGATGTGGATCATGGTGGATCAAAGGCCACGAGACGGTCTACTACAGGATACTATGTCTTTGTGGGCGAGAATCTAGTATCCTGGAAAAGCAAGAAAAAAAATGTGGTGTCCCGATCGAGCGCAGAGGCAGAATACAGAGCTATGGCACAGTCTGTATGTGAGATAATCTGGATATATCAGTTACTGAAGGAGGTTGACCTCAAAACTACTTTGCCAACAAAGTTGTGGTGTGACAATAAGGCTGCCCTACATATAGCCTCTAATTTTGTGTTCCATGAACGTACCAAACATATTGAGATTGATTGTCACTTTATCAGAGACAAGCTTAAAGAGAACTTCATCTCTACTGGATATGTGCGCTCTAGTGATCAATTTGGCGAACTTTTGACTAAGGCTCTAAATGGGACTCGTGTTGACTATTTGTGTGACAAGTTGGGCATGATTAACATCTATGCTCCAACTTGAGGGGGAGTGTAGAGATATGATATGATATTATGTAAATATTATGTAATTATGATTAGAATTTTATATGATATGATATTATCATAATGAGCCATTAATGCAAAGGCTCCTCCCACTTGTATATATATGTGCATATTCTGAGTAATGAAATACAAGAGGATTATTTTCCATATTATTCTATAATCTACAGTTATAACTTTCACCATTACAACTCATGATTTCTACAGCGATAGAAGATGGTAGTTACTAATGACAATCAAGTAATGCAAATTCATAGAGTCGATTCCCTTCCAAGTGTTTAAATCAAACCTTTTCCCTGCCAATATGGCGTCCTCCGCCTTAAATTGATCATATTAATGATGAGCTTGATCTCCACAGCTTTTTTCTGGGAGTGATGATGGCGGTGATCATGCAACTGTATGGGTTTGGGATATTTCCATGGCCAAGAGGAAGAAATGCATAGAAACACTAAACAACCATAGCTCCACTGTGACTTCTTTGGCAATATCTGAAGATGGATGGACGTTGCTTAGTGCTGGAAGAGACAAGGTAGGCCCCTCGTGGCCCAACCTGTAACAAATAAATATGGGCTATTGTACCATCATTCGATATCTTAATTATTCAAGCATAACAATATTGATCATAATAGTCAAACGCACCATCGAAGTCGTACACTCACATATATCAAGGTTTTGAACTCTTACAAAGGTAATAGGAATCAACTTCATGATTTCTAAGTTGTCAACGTAGGAGTTGATCAGAAATTATTCAAATCCTTTGTATGCTTATGTTGCCTAGTATGTTTTCCCTTTTATTGATCCTAGGGAAGCTATTTCTTAAACACCCAAAAAAAAACACAAAAACAAAAACAAAACGCGCGTGCGTGCGCACACACACACTCTTTCTGCTCTTTTTCTCCAAATATATGATTGATTTGCCCCAGTCTGTGTCCTGTGATAAGTGCTTCTACCGTTTCTAGAATTTACCCCATTAGTACTGGTGGTCCTGCCAACTTTACGGGACAAGATTTCTGTTACTTAGCTTTGATCATTCATCTGTTTTGTGTTAACTTACAAGTGTTTTATATCAAGTTCTTTTCCTTTTGGTTTCTGTTCTGGTACTCTCTCTCTCTATATATATATATATTAGTTGTTTCTTCAATCCTTTCTTTCACTATCAACTTGCAATATATTGCTGCCCTAACTGATCAGCAGAATGTTCTCAGGTTGTAACATTGTGGGACCTTCATGATTATAGCAACAAGAAGACTGTTGTCACAAATGAGGCGGTTGAAGCTGTATGTGCAATCGGTCATGGGAGCTCTTTTGCATCATCTTTGGATTTATACCGTCAACAGAGTACAAAGCAACAAAATGGCTCACTAGCAATCCAATTCATTACAGTCGGTGAACGTGGAATTGTGCGAATTTGGAGTTCTGACAGGTAATATAACTTTGTCAGTGCTTTAAGTATAATGGTGTTTAATGCAGAGCCTTCAAATGATTACATCTAAAAAATGCATTTAAAACAAGATGGAATGGCTGGCTGTTTCATGGTATCTTTTTTTTTTTTTGGTTGACAGTGCAAGTTGCTTGTTTGAGCAAAAAACTTCAGATGTTTCAGTCAGTAATGATGAGGATGGCTCACAAAGGGGTTTCACTACTGCTACTTTGCTTACCTCAGATCAAGGATTACTTTGTGTGACTGCGGATCAGCAGTTTCTTTTTTACTCTCTGGAATGCAGCAGTGGAAATTTGCAATTAAACCTAACCAAAAGACTCGTAGGGTATGAGGAGATTGGGGATATGAAATTTTTGGGGGATGATGAGAAATTCCTTACTCTTGCTACCAATCTTGAACAGGTACTGAATTTTGCATTTGCTATCTAGAAATTTGCGGACTGACTGCAATTAAGTAGAGCTGTATTTTGTGTTTAAGAAAATAGTACAACTGCATTTGTCTATCAACCTAGCTGTAGAATTGCATTGATTGTCAATTTAGAGTAGAATACATTACTGATCTAAAGGATATTGCTGCTACAGGCACAATCTCATATAGCAGGGAGGCCGGGGTGGTTGTGTGGAGAAGCACACAGGCACCACCACTTTAGCCCTTGCGCTCCTTGATTATATTATCGTAGCTGTTGATTCAAGAATTAATTGGAAAAATGATGAAGGAAAAACTAAAGGTAAATTTGAGGATTACAAAATTTAATTTCATTATTTATACTATTTTTTTTAACTGTTAACAACTATTATGCAGTTGCTGACACTAGCTACAAGCTATGGAGGCTCAAGCCTAATTTCCTAGGTACATCAGCCGGACACATGAAGCACTGCCAACAGGCTTTTAATTGTTTTCAGAAGGAGTTACATCAAGGGAGTATATCTTCACTCACGCAAGCTTTAGAAAGATTCTCTGACATACTATGCCAAACCACTGATCCAGGCATACCATCAGCCAATCAAACAATACTTGCGGGATAGAGTGAGGATGGGGTAACTTATTAGTTATTTTTCAGTGAATGATTTTTTTATAATTAGTTCTCTTTTCTAGCTAATTAAGTTCTCTAACGAGTATATTTTTTCAGACTCCAGGTCTATATGGGATTACCAATGCAGAGACGAGCATAAATGTATTCACAAAAGAATATGTAACATCTGGGAGTGGGAACATCTTTGCTTTATCAATATTGGCTACAAGGTTAATTGATATTTTATAAATAAAATTTGTTTAAATTTTAGCTCTTATATAATGATACATAAAGTCCTTGTCTTATAGGTATAGAAGAGACATGAAAGTTGACGATGCAGTGGAGGTTGCCCGACAAGCAATGCATCAGGCGGTCATGAAAGACCCATTTATTGGGGGAGAAATAACAATTTGCCTTGTGAGTCGATGGGATTCAATGATAGTATGGATAGGTGACGTCATAAAGTATTACAAGGCTGATAGGATAGAGATCTACAGAGAAGATCCTCCTAATAGGATAGAGGATGAGGCTGCTTTTGATGTCATGGAGACTGACTGAGGAGAGGAGGAGTAGGAATGTGATTCTTTCTTTTAAATTTTCAAAACTTCTTCTAGTTGGCATTCATGCAAATTATAATTAAGGTATTAATGGTTTTCAAAATGGAATCAACTCATAATCAAACCGGATTAAAATAATATAATTTAATTAGAATATACAAAATATTCATATTTAATTCTAAAAAATCTTATTTAAATAAAAAAATTGCAATATGCCACCAGTTGATGAATTGAGTTATCTAGGAATATTAACAAGCACATATTATTAATTAAATATTCCTCTAAAATAATAAAAGTAAAATTTAAAGCTTTAAATATAGAATATAAAAGCATAATTATAAAAGAGATTTGCATAAGTATTCATCACTAAAATAATAAAAGTAACTAAATTATAATACCCCTAAGCACAAAAATTTATGATCTTTAAATTTAAAATGGCTTGGCTGGTAAAAAAATAAATGGGAGTTGGTACGTGAGAGGTAGAAACGAGTATGGGTGTGACTAAAAAATTGGAAATGATCTTGTTGGAAAGTGAGACAATGACCTATGATTCTTTTAATAAAAAGAAATGAAATCAAGGGTGTGAGTAAAAAATTGGAAATGACCTTGTTGGAAAGTGTGGGACAATTACCTATGACTCTTTTACCACCTAAGTTGTTCTGGCTTAATCAAGATCTCAAGTTCAAGACTTGGGCACGCACCATCGCAGGTGGTAGAGCTAGCCACATGAAAGGGTCCCTACAAGGCTCGAATACGCATTAGTCTGGGCTTGATGAGTTCCTTATGAATAAGGGCTGATCTAGGATAGGAGGTGCGGTCACTTTAAAAAAAATGAAATGAAATGAAATCATGACCTTTCATATATGATGAACGGTTATGATACAATCTCCCCTCTCTCTCTCTCTCTCTCTCTCGGTTGAATTAAAACACTTTGATTTGAGACGCTGAACTGTACCATGGATTTGGATCTAGTTTCAGAGTGGAAAGGAGAAATTCGTAGAGGGACTCTGGCGTTCAACTGAGAAAAAATCAAAAAATTACTCAAGTTGATGATGAGGTAACTTGATATAGATCTCGTAATAGAGAATATCTGACTGGTTCTTTTTTTTCCTTTTTTCTTTTTTCCCCTCTTAGTTTTTCAATTTTTTCTATCCTCGTCTTCTTCATTGCTCTTATTTCTTCCTTTCTATTCCCGTTCTTCACTTCTGGGGATGAGACTTTAAAATTACTGTGTTGTATGAAGTGATTTTCATGAGATCTTGCATCAATTTTATGTGAATCACTCGTAAATTATTAAAAAAGAAAACTATCATAACCACATATTAGAACAGACATCAATTTATGAAGAATTAGGGATGTACCTGGGGATGGCGGTTTGATACCCTGTGGTCAACGGAGGAGGGAGAAGTATGGGGTATGGCTATTTCTTAGTCGGGTGTGTTCGGTACTTACATCTGGGACAGATGTAGAAGTAGAGATAAAGGAGGCACCTTTACCTCTCACCTATGGCGGCAGGTCCATGGTCGCTGATGGAGGAAGACGTAATCCCAAATTGACCGTGAGGGGGAGCTGACTTTGTGAGATGAGATGCTGATGGAGGAAGCAAGCTCTTAGGTCGGCAAAAGCCAGGGATAGGAACTGAAAAAGTCAAGGGTTTCTAATCCCATCCAAGTCTGAAGTAAATCTTGTGCGGATCTCGAATCAGTACCTCGACGTGATGTAGGCTGATGGAGGCCGACGCTGAGATAGATCCAAAAGAGGTAAAACAATCAGGGGTAATGCCAGAGGAAAGTCAGGGAGGTTTTTTTCGGACCTCACATGATTGTGAAACGAGATTTTAGCCAAAGAGAGAATCAGGGGGAATCAAAGGATTTAATTCAGATAAGGAGGGGCTAAGAAGGGGAGGAACCAAGGATACAATCAATGGGAGAATCAAACACATGCAACGAATATCAAGGAAAGGACCATGGTAAAGATAACAAATAAAGAGGGGAATAAGGAGGTGGAGAAGCGAAGATTCGGAGTAGAGGTCAATAATGATGAGAAAGAATAGATCGTAGTTGGAACACAACGCAACGCCCTGCCAAAAAAGAAAACACAGGGAAAAGAAAACCTAACTGGGGTGAAAATGCGGGCCAGAGAAAAGAAAATACAGGCCAGGAGTCAACTAGTGGATCACAACAAATATGGTCCACAAGCTCCTTTGCTGCACTAATGATTGGGCAGTCCAATTTTGAACAGGCCACCAATCATGACCCAATGAAGGGAGGAAATGAGCTGGAGGGGATGATAGACTGGAGCAGTGGGTCGGGTAAAGAGACACATGATTATAGAGGAGTGACTATACGGACCCAAGAGGACATAATGATAGGCCAAGATGGGCATGAGAAAAATGAGGAAGATACTCATATGGATGCGATGAGGGTCCCCCCTCTCGCAGAAAGTGAGTGTTCCCCATGAACTGCTTACTATGGAACACTCGCGGGATCGGGGTCTGCTCTTTCCCTAACCTCATCTGTGAGCTTAGGATGAAACACAACCTGGACCTTGTAGCCATTTTTGAAAGACGTAATGCAGGAGAGAAGGCTCACAAAGTCACTTCAACTCTTGACTTCTGTAATATGGAACTGGTTGATGTTGAAGGTTACAGAGGAGGAATTTGGTGTTCATAGTCAAACAAATTTTGAATGGTTGAAATAGTGCTAACTAATAAACAATTTATCCACTTGAAGCTTCAAGACGATGAGTTAAAATTTTGGGAGATGACTCTCATTTATACTAGTCTGAATGTGGTGCACAAGCGCGAACTCTAGTCAACTTTGAGTGAAGTAGGGAGAAACACCTAGAACCCGTGGTACGTTGGGGGTGATTTTAACGTGATCACATCTAGGGATGAACGAAGATCAAGTGCGTTAACCTAAGAGCCCGATAAAGAGTTCTGCAGGTTCATTCTCAACTCAGGACTTAATGACATTGGGTATGTAGGGCCACAATTCACGTGGCGAAGGACAAGGGTTGAAAGCTGAATTGACAGAATGCTCAGGTCGTTCGATTGGATGGAGCTGTTCCCGAATGCTCTAGTCACTCACCTACCTTTCTATAAATCAGACCGTCGCCCATTGCTGGTGTAATTTGACGAGGCCCGACAGAAGAGACATATCGAGAGACCGTTTTGCTTCATGGCTGCATGGGTCCTTAACAACCAGTTTGAGACCCTAGTGAAGAATAAATGGAACCCAGCAACCTCTTGGACAGATACTATTAATCACTTTGCTGAGGAGTGCAAAATCTGGAACAAGGAAACCTTCAGACACACAACGCCGAGGAAAAGGAAACTCATGAAACGCCTGGAAGGTATCACAAAAACTAAGGCCACTTATGGGTTAAACGAGAAACTAGAGGAACTCTAGAAACAGTTGTGGAACAAGCTAGAAGAAATCTTAATCCAAGAATCACTAATCTGGGCCCAAAAAGCTTAAACAGAATGGATGATAAATGGTAACAAAAACACGAGATATTTCCACTCATGAGCCAATAGACGAAGAAAGCATAACCATATCGGAGCAATCAGAAACTATAGTGGGGAGTGGAAATATGATGTGGAAATCATTAAGAATACGGCCACGATGTTCTTCTCACACTTATTCCAGGAAGAAGCCCAAAACCGAGAAGAGTGTAAATGCAGCATAACCTACCTGAGTAGGTCGCAAGATACA